TTAATAAAGTTGTCTCAGTGTGAGTCTGTAATATCTCCTGTACACTTTAACCTTCAAAATTGCAAGAAAACAAAACAGAATTAATGTGTTCTTCCAAAAAAGGAAACAAATTGATTCCTGAAAGCAGCATTTTACAAAGCTCTATCTCTGACTAAACCCATGCAGTCTTATGGAGGATTATTTTCTCCACTGAAGGTCTCAGGTCTGTAGAATTTCCTGTGTTTTTTTTTTTTTTTTTTTGTGTGGTCCACGAGGCTTAAACCAGCGTCCACACCTCAAATATTTATCACGTCTAATTTGGGATGATTATGTAACTAAATGTGCGATCCATTTATAACTCACACTAATGTCTGCTGTAAAGAAGATTTGGAAAACGTAACGTAATGTAAACGTAATGTGTACTACTGTGATTAGTCGTGATTTGGACTCGAGTCAGATTTGAGCCACTGTTTGTAGGACTTGAGACTTGAACTTGATAAAATGGACAAAGATTTGGGCCTTGACTTGGACTTGAAGGTCAGTGACTTAAGAAAATTTGATGCTTCTCCTAAAAAGTATGTTTTTAGGTGCTTCATTTTACAAGAACAAACTGAAACATGTCCCTCCCCCTTCTCTGTTTATTACTTTGGATGTAATTGAAGTACTGTGATATGGTATCCTAAAATATTACAGTAATATACAGTACAATAAAGTAAAAAGGGGAGCTACATAGAACATGATCCTTCCATTTCAGTGCACACAATTTGACAAAATGACTGTTATTTAGCACTTTAAATCTTAATTCTTTCTATTCTGACCGTAATAATTCACAGATCTTATCAAGACATTTAAACAGGAAAAAACTGTATTTCTACAATTCTTATATAAATCCTCATATATAAATACACTAGGGATGGGCATGATTAGTCGATTAATCGATAATTGATCATTAAGAATTTCGTCAGTTATGTTCATTTTTAATCGACAAACCGAATGTAGGTTGCTGTGCGTAGGGTGACCAAACGTCCGTTTTACCACGGACGTGTCCCCGGACACGTTTTTTTTTTTTTTTTTTTTTTTTTTATAAACTGATGCAAATGTCCAGGTTTTCATGATCTTTCATTGGGTCATTAAACTGAGTGTCTCTCGTAGCTCTCTCAGCACTCAGGAGCGAGCACACACAAACAGTCAGTCAGCCTGCAACGTGCCAAAACGCAAATGCGCATTTAATGATGACTTGTACAAGAAATTCCACGCTTTCCATCCCGGTCGAAAAAAGTGGGAGGTCGTGTGCACAATGTACAAAGCAGCACATATGTTTCGGTGTCCAGTGGGGGGTGCCAGGGACCTCAAAACTCACCAGGACACTGAAAAACATGAAAAAGCTTTGCCAGGTGAGTAGCTCAATGTCGATGACGAGTCCCCACCTCCCACCCCCCGTACGCTGTCCTGGTTTTGACAAACGCAAATATGGTCACCCCATAGCTCAAAAAATAACTTGGAAACATATAAAAAACGTATAAAAACAGGGACTCTGGCTGTGAGCGGGGTCGTCTCTCCGCAGATCTGACCTGTAACTTGGTCTGGTTTGATCTCCATAACAGTAAAAAGGTTTAATGCCGTACTGTGAAACATTCCAGACAAAGCAATAACAATAACGTCTCCATTAAGAAAAGCATTTGGCGCACACTCCACCAAAAAAAGTTGCAGAATGCAACTTTAACATGCACAAAACATACATTATAGCTGCATTGCCATAAAATGTCATCATATCACTTATTAAATTATGAGTATTGTTAGTCATATATTATTTATTACACTGAATAACCCTGCAAATCCCAGCTTATATTATGTATTTTCTCCATTGACTGTAAATTATTTTGGAAGATTTCTTCAGCTGACATTATTTTAGCCTCTTCAGTGCATTTATTTTTGGTTAAATTAGTCAGAATGGAATAAAAATACAAACTGTTATATATTATTGATTCCTGTTAACAGTCATAACACAATTTCCCCGTCGACGTTCACTTCCTGTTTACCTCGGTTCATCTGATGTTTACGGAGAAAGAGCTCCTCCTGTGTGATGGTCGAACACACCAGGCCAGAGTCGTGCCATTACGTCTAAATGGAGATGTGAAGTGCACGTTAATAGAACAACACGCCTATTAGCTCGAAATATATTAGTATATGTGAGTGGATGCTACATGCTCAGAAGTACTAGTACACGGTCTGTGTACTGCAGTGCTGTTTATCTAATAAAAAAATAAATAAAAAAATGTACTAATGTATTACTTTAATAGAATTATCATAACTACCACTACTACTAATACTAGGCTACTATTACTACGACTACTACTACTATGAAGAGTACTACTACTTCCACTACTACAACTAGTACTACAACTAGTAATCTTACTACTAATACTACTACTATGAAGACTACTTTTACTACTTCTACTACTACTACTACTTCCACTGCTACTACCACTACTACTACAATTAATACTCCTACTACTAATACTACTATGACTACTATTTCTACTTTTACTACTATTACTACTTCCACTACTACCACTAGTACTACGACTAATAATCTTACTACTAATACTACTACTACTACTACTACTATGACTACTATTACTACCAAGCCTACTACTACGACAACTACTATTACTACTTCTACTTCTACTACTACTACTACTACTACCACTGCTACTACGACTAATGCTCCTACTACTACTACGAAGACAACTAAGACCACTATTACTACCAAGACTACTACTACAACTACTACTACTATTACTACTACTACTACTACTTCCAATACTACCACTAGTACTATAACTAATAATCCTACTACTAATACTACTACTATGAAGACTACTATGACTACTATTACTACCAAAACTACTCCTACTATTCCTCCTTCTCCTACTACTACTACTACTACTACTACTTCCAATACTACCACTAGTACTATAACTAATAATCCTACTACTAATACTACTACTATGAAGACTACTATGACTACTACTACTACTACTACTACTACTATTATTACTACTACTGCTGCTTCTGCTACTGCTACTACTACTACAACTGCTACTACTTTTTGATATAATTGCTACCACTTTTTTCTCATCTAAAAAATGAATATGGAACTCTGACTCCATTTCACTTTGTATTCAGAAAACGTCGTCCCTCTCTTTGTAACTGCTGCTGTCGGGCTCCTCTTTTTGGTCTTCAAATGTTCATATTAACCCGCTCTACATGCTCCTGGTGTTTTTGTCCATAAATATTCCAATTCCTAATATAGAACTCGTCTCCAAATTCGCTCTTATAACTGCAAGCCTCGATGAGCTTCATTTGACTGGAGCCAAACGCTATGGGTGACACTTTTTTGTTGATGCTAAAACTTACAAGTCAGATCTGTGGACCATGCACACACAGACAGCAAGAATGCATGTTTTTCGGGGTATTTTTGAGCAATAAAAATCCAAAATGGGTACGTTTAATGCTATACTGTGGAACATTCAGGCAATACAATGGTAAATACAGTACATAATGCAGCTTCACGCAAATTAAAGTAACTAATAACCTTTCTTCTTTGTATTTTCTATGTATCCACAGCCTTATTTAGCTGCCAAAGTCACACTAATTAGTTAATCAGCGGGTTTACTCTCCTCACATGCAGAGGTTGTGTGCAGACAGCCGGCAATCAGTCTTGTCCATTGAAAAGCATCATTCAATCAAAGGCTTTTTACTGTTTAAGCAGCGCCCTCCCTCGCATAGACGTAAAGCTTTTAGTGCACACACTGTTACTCCAGACGGGCAGTAACAGTGTGGATTAGGTTATGGACAGATCAACGCCACGTTCAGGCCTCACCTCAGATACCCTACAAAGTGAAGAATTGATCATGTTGTTGCTTTAGAGGGAGGAGATAGAATGAAAAATTGATGTTGCTGTAGTTGTTCTTGTGAAATGCAAAATTAGATTGTCTAGTACACTGTCTATTATTTACAATTACCCAAAAAAGAGACAAGAAAGGGTAGCGTATTCTTAGAAACAACGGTACAGACTTATATTTCTGCACTGTGGTTTTAAAGCCTTATATTAGACAAATTTGACTCTTGTGAGCTTTTAGTCGTGTTAAAATGTTGTTACGTCATCAAAAACAGACCTGGAGTTGTGTTTTGTTTCATTCACGTTTGTGTAACACTTCATTATTAGTCTGTCTACATTTCCAAACCTCAAAATGCTCCGTTCCGCCTTCTGATGTCATGAAGAAGTAGTTAAAACTTTCCTAATTCAAGTAATCTTAAAGGTGCACTGTGTAACTTGTTTGCTGGAGGGTCCGTCACCTGCTTGTCTCCTTGAAGATGTGCCTAGAATATTCCACAGTACGGCCATAAATTTACGAAACTCTGTGGAGATTTGCAAGACAGATTACAGGTTAGATTTGTGGATGTTTTTGAATAGATTTTGAGCAATAAATAACACCTGTAGCTGAATAAATGCAAGACAGATTAGTTTAATTAGCCAGACTGGTGCCACCTAGTGCCTCCGCTAAATTTCATTTCTCTTCAGCGACTAGATCAGGAATCAAAATACACTAGACGGTTTGCAAGAACCCCAGAAGTGTGAGTCTGGGCACCAGCCAGTCAGCGAACAGCCATATATTCTGTGTTGGCAACGATTCCTGAGATCGAGGATTTAAACCTGTAACAAAGAGAATGTTTGGTGAATTTTATCAAGGGGGTGTGAGGGTTTCTTTCTGCCTCTCCTACCCCTCCTTTCCCTGCTCCCTCTTCCCTTCTCTCACCTTATTTGGCTTTTCCTGGGCGGGTCCCCAATTCATCTCACCTGCTGAGCTCCACTCCTGATCCTCGTCAAGTAATCATCTCCTGCAATAAAAGACCTGCTGACCTGCTCTCCAGTGCCAGATCGTTTCGTCAACCAAGTGGTGAACAGCTCAGGCTTTTTGTGTTTTTGAGCTTTTTTGAAGACTTTTGACTCTTACCTGTTCCTTTTTATTCTTTCCCCAGTTCTTCCGTTTTGGAGCCAGCCTCTTCCCGTTACCATCAGTTTCTGTAAGCCTCCGGTCAGCCTCCATCTCCGCAGACCTCCCATCTGCAGCCAACCCAGACCCGTCCTGTGTCCCCTGGAATCTATCCTCCTGCCAAGACTATTTTGTGAATAAAATACTTTTTTTCCCCTCTGCATATTTGGGTCCGACCAGTGATTCTTTAACAGGGGGAAGATGTTATTGCGGTGCATTACATACGTCACAACTAGAGATGCGCGGATTGCGGTTACAACCGCGGTATCCGTGGTTAATCTGCGGGTCGGGCGGATGACGTGACGAAAAATTATATTTTAATTTAATTCGGGCGGGTGGCGGTTTAACTACAAAAAAAAAAAAAAGTTATTGTTAGTATTGTTACCTACATCTGAAAAGACGAGTCTCATTGTCTGTGCTTGTAGTATGTGTACGTCATGTCCTTAATTAGCCCATTTGACCTCGTTTTAATGTTCTGAAGGTTAAGGTTGTGTCGGGTTATTGATGCCTAAGGTTTACGAGGCACATATTATATGCAGTTTATTTTATTATTTCTAATTTATTTCAGCTGTTTGCCAACACGTAAGTGGCTATAGGGCCATATTTATTTAGTTATGTTTTTTTTTTTGTTTCGATATCAGATATATTTTAAGACACGCAGACATTATAGCGTAGACGACCACTCGGGTTATTTAAAACTTAAAGAAAGACCGATGGAGTGAGGCTATGACTTTGAAATAACATCGGGCAATGGCAGAATGTTCAGAATGTAACAACATCCAACACGAAGGCAAGAAGGTTCAAAAATAGCCTAGTTGGAAAACGTTGTCAGTTAATTAGCTGCGCAAGAAAACCAGGTAAGTCTGGGGTTGTTACGGACAATTAAGAATGCGAACATACACGCTGAGCGAATTTTGGAATGAATGAGCTATAGTTTGCATTTATCGAGGCTCCTTAGTTTGTTTGCTGTATGATTGTTCTAAAATCTAAAATCAATCGGCGGATGGCGGGCGGGTGCGGTTTTGAAAACCTTAGGTGCAAAATGGACAGCGGGCGGATGATGAGTTTTGTGTCGCGGTTGCGGATGAAAAAATAGCCCATCCGCGCATCTCTAGTCACAACCAAATAGCAGCGATTGGTTAAATAAAAAAGTACCTGCCTACCGTCAAGTGAACGAATCCTAATGCTGTAAGGTCAGACTGTTTTTACGAAGTGAAACCAGCTGATGAACCGGGCTGGAGTTTAATACCATACAGTGAACAATTTAAACCAAAGCATTAACATCTCCATTGAGACAAACAGGTTGCGGACCCTCTCCAGAAGTTACACAGTACACCTTTTTAGATTTTAAAGTTTTTGCAGCGTGAAAGTTACTAGAACCTTGTCTTGTCCGCTATGTATGCTTTATAATTAAACAAACAAACAAACAAAAAAACATCCACAAACTATAAAACCATCTTTCAAATTATGTTTACCTTACAGCTTGTTAAGAAATAATAATAATAAATAAATAAATAAATCACAACTTAAAGTGCACTGTGTCACTTTTTAGTTGGGGGTCTGTCACCTGTTTATTTCTATGGATATACCAAAGCTCTGCCTGGAATGTTCCGCAGTGTGACATTAAACTGCTCTACCTTCCAGTTATTCAATTACAAGTGGTTTTATAGCTCAAAAATATCTAGAAAAACAGGTATTCTGACTGTGAGCGGGGTCGCCTCTCCACAGATCTGACCTGTAAATTGGTCTGATTTGGTCTCCGTGAAGACAGAAAGGTTTAATTCCATACTGTGAAACATTCCAGGCAAAGCAATAACATTTCCACAGAGAAAAGCATTTGACAGACCCTCTACCAGAAAAGTTACACAATGCACCTTTAAGATTCAGGGACAATACAGCCTTTCCTCTGCTAAATGTATATGAAAGTAGTACAGTCATCTTGTTAACCACACTACTGAAAAACCATCGTTCAAACTCGCATGCAAGTATTACCGGTATAAGAGTGTTAGATTTACCTCACAGCTTGCCCATCACGCTAACAACAAAATTCTTCTATTGCAAAATCCAAAAGAAGAACTCGTATTGTTGATCCGAAGCCCCGATTCAGTTCAAACTCCACCGATCGTATGGAGCTAAGTGCTTTTATACGCTGACTGCATGAGCCGTAATGGCACTGTAATATGGAGGAGAGGACGGGCATGTCTCTGCTGTCTGGGCAAGTCCAACTCTAAACGTCTATACGCTGTCAGTAGAGATCGATCGTTTTTTTTTTTTCATGGCAGAGAATCCAGAGAAAACAATGACCGATCAGCTCTGCCTATATTTTTGTGCTGATATGTAAAGCAGATTTAGATTATTTTCCACAAATTCCACCACAATTTTTTTCTGATCTATGTTATAATGTTCTTTCCTCATCACAAACAAACCTGGAGTTGTGTTTTGTTTCATTCCCACATGTTTAACACACAAACAGAGGAGAAAACACTCCACCTTGTGATGTCATGAGGTAGTACAGGAAGTGCTCCACTGTGATTTTAAACTCCATAGACAGTACTTCACTGGAAACATTTGGATCATTTCAGCCAGGGGTGTAGTGGGCGTGGTATGCGGGGGTACGCCGTCCACCGACACGAGATATTAAAAAAATAACAAATATAAAATAGCTACAACTTAAATGTCAAACCGGAGCTTTTGGCAATGCTGAAAACAAACTGCATAGGCTCATGATATCTGCAGTACTGTCCTATAGTGACCTGAGACATGCGGGACCAGGACTGGACCAGGACTGAACCAGGTCTAAACCAGGACTGAGTGTCGGGACGGGCCCGTGTAGACCGTCAGGTGACCCCAGGACCGCAACTCAGAGCTTTGTGGACACCCTGCTCTACAGGTTCGGGGTTCTCGCTTTCACTTTCCAAGATTAGTCCTAGTTTTGTCCTGTTTTAGTCCTGTTTTAGTCCTGGTTTAGACCTGATTTAGACCTGTTTTAGTCTTGGTTTAGACCTGATTTAGTCACTGTTTTAGTCCTGTTTTAATCATGGTTTAGTCCTGGTTTAGTCCTGGTTTAGACCTGATTTAGACCTGTTTTAGTCTTGGTTTAGACCTGATTTAGTCACTGTTTTAGTCCTGTTTTAATCATGGTTTAGTCCTGGTTTAGACCTGATTTAGACCTGTTTTAGTCTTGGTTTAGACCTGATTTAGTCACTGTTTTAGTCCTGTTTTAATCATGGTTTAGTCCTGGTTTAGACCTGATTTAGACCTGTTTTAGTCTTGGTTTAGACCTGATTTAGTCACTGTTTTAGTCCTGTTTTAATCATGGTTTAGTCCTGGTTTAGACCTGATTTAGTCACTGGTTTAGTCCTGGTTTAATCCTGGTTTAGACCTGTTATAGTCACTGATTTAGTTCTGTTTTAGTCCTGGTTTAGACCTGATTTAGTCACTGGTTTAGTCCTGTTTTAGTCATGGTTTAGACCTGGTTTAGTCACTGGTTTAGACCAGTTTTAGTCCTGTTTTAGACCTGGTTTAGACCTGATTTAGTCACTGGTTTAGTCCTGTTTTAGGCCTGGTTCAGTCCTGGTTCATGTATTGTAGCCTATGATTTACATTCTGTTGGTGATTATAAACGCCTTTAATGTTAATAACATTATTCCGCATCATTTTGAGTAAAAAAAACATCAGATATTACTGATTTTTACTGGGCTGGCATCTTTATGTTTGTACTGAAAGTGAGTTCAGGGGCGATGATGTCACGAATCGCATAAACCCACTTAAAAAATCCCCATGACACCACTGATTTCAGCCCTGGAATTGCCAATCTCTACTGAACTAAAGGTAAAATGTAGCTGTTAACTTCAAAACTACCACTTCATGACATCACAAGGTGGAACAGAGCATTCTGAGCTTTGGAGATATAGACAGACAAACATGTGTGAATGAAACAAAATGCAAATCCAGGTATGTTTTTTATTTGTTTTTTCTAACATGGCTTAAAGCTCACAAGAGTCCAGTTTGTGCACTATATGAGTCCTTTAACAGATACAAGATGGCTTCAGAAATATATTTTCCAGACCGAAATAGTCCGAGCAGACTCCCTGACTGTTGTGGTTGAGACTAAACTGAGCTCTGCAGTCTTTCTGCTCCAGTGAGTCTCTCGTGTCTGAGGAGGGCCACGGGACACAAGACCCACTTACACTTATATAAAGCCTGAAGAAAGTAAACAAAAACAAAAACTGTGCAGGTCATTAAAGCATAACATAACAACCACCAGCTCCATATAAACAACTTACTACATAATACAGTGTGCATTTCTATCTTGATTGATTGATTTGTTTTTATTTTGACTTTGTGCCAAGAGAGAAAAAAATAATCATACACACTACGTATAGGGATGTAACGATATCCAAATCTCTTCGTTCGATATTTCCATGATATGCATATTCCGATACAATATTTTTTGTGATTTTTGTGGTAGGGCTGCTATGGAAAAAATCATTATCATGATTATTTTGGCGAATATTGAAATCTCTCTCTCTCTTAAAAAAAAGAAATGTTATTGATAATTTACGCAAAACTTTCAAATGCAAAATAAATTCAGGCAACAAATATGAACCTTAGAGCAGTTTTGCGGTGTATAAAACATAAATATATATATAAATAATTTACTTTGAACATGAAATAAGGCGTAGAAAAACGTAAATGTATCCGAAATAAACGATATATACAGCTGTTCCACGATCTCTTATTTATATAAAAAATATCTAAAAATAAACATTGTTAAGCTTTAAATCGTTTCAACTTGTTTATGTGAGTTTGGAGATCGTTGGACACACAAATTGCAATAAAAATTCGATTAACTGCACAGCCTTATTTTGTGGAGGCTAAAAACATTATGAATATGCTACTTTGTCCATTTATAATATCTTGACAAGACTTGGGTTCTGTCATAATTCAAAGAACAAAGATTTATTAAAAATGCTTAATAACTGTTATTTCTTCATATTTTCTGCACTGAAACAGCAAAGGATCATGGTCTATGTAGTTCCCTCTGTTTTATA